CCTTCATATGCTCTCAGTCCAGATATTTGAGCTCTAGAATATTAGTGCTATTTGTTACATCAAAAAAAGTTGAAGTCTCTGGCGCAATCGATCCCATTTTGGTATGCGTCCTGCATTCAACTGCTATTCAAAATCGTAGTGGTATTTGATTGCGTATGTGACCTATACAACGACTTGCGGCGGTAGTATGCCGATGTAGAAATCAGGGCTTTTATCCTCTCAGACTATTTTTCTGGTAGCAATTAACCAAACCCAGATGGCTGGAAGGCCTGGGTGGCCTAGGCATGTATCGATCCGGGATTTGATCCCCGGACTTCGCGTGTGTGGGTGTTAACGTGTCACTTGCCATCTCATCGCTTCACACGATCTTTTTTTTATATTCATCATAACAATACCCAACAGAGCTTTCCATTATCAATGAGTATTATCACATTTGTTAAGCTGAACACCGTCTTTCATCCAGCCAGTGAGGCTTCGCAGAAGTTCGATCTCACGGGCCGCTATCTCTTTTGGTACTCGGAGCCCGAAAATTTCTCTTTCATTTATTTATCAATGAAACATTCTCTGCTCTTTTCCTTCCAATGAAATCTCCTATCGTTTTTTCATGCATGGGCTTGATCCCGAACATTGTCAAAGTGTCATGGAAAGGATGGTGGAATGGATTAGTACGTGACCGATCTCTGATTTATCCTATCCATCGGTCAGATTGATGACACACCCACGACCGAGGGTGCTTGGGAGCTCTTTCTCCACGGGGGAAATCAGTTTTGTCTTCTTTTTTAGGTCTGTTAGATGGAAATGGCGCACTGACACCACCACTCCTCACGTCATAAGACCACCACCAACTCAGCGGCGTTGCTGTTTACCGTATCCCCCTTACAGTGACGCGACATTCTAAATGTAATGTGCAGAAATTACTGCTCAGAAATTTGTCACGTTTCATAGTTCACATCAAAAATTGTCATGGCTAGGTTTGCTCCTCTTTCTTTTACCAGATGATCATTCTTTCTTCGCTAGCTGGTTACTTGAGCTTACTACTACTGTTACTGAAGGCCATCCTTCATAAAAACTCCTTGAATCGGCCCCCGATTCCATCCTTAGTGAAGGTTCTGTTGTGGCGGCCCAACGACTGGGTACCCAGGCATCTGAGTGAGGATGTGCCTAGGAAAGCAGGTTGGGAAATTACGTCATCTGATCACGTTTTTGTCGATTTTCTAAAACAAATTTGGTCACTTTAAGTCGTGCACATCAGAAAAAAACGAACTTAATCAGGGCCGACTGGTTACTTCAATCGTCGTCCTAGTCCCCGTTTTTGATTAGGCACAATTTCGTTACAAGAGATTCCTGTGACTGGGTAAAGACCTGGTCGAGCACAGTCATAGTGGGATGACCTGCTGACCGTTTGTGGGGGGGGGGGCTGTATTATGACCGAATCCGAATTAGGTTGACATTATCGCTTGTCCTTATACTGTTGGACGGACTGGTCCTTATCGTGGATTGTACGGGAGTTGGGGCAACCAAGGGAACGGAATGGGAATTGGATCTTGAAGACCTCGTTTTCAGGGGCAACTAAGAGAAGTTAAGTTTGCCTTGCTGGTTCTTTTCAAGCACCCCCAAAAACATCGTCTGCCTCTTGGGAAACTTTACCTGTATGGGAGGAGTTTCCAAAGCCAGAAACATCTCTGAACCCTTGTGTGGCACTTCCTAAAAGTAAGGTCTTGATAACCGATTCCTGTTCCCTTTTCTTAACTGGCTCTGATACATTTCGGGGTCCTCCCTCGATTCCGGATGTAGGTTCAATGCATGGCTCATGAATGGGGAATGGTCAGCTTTACCTATTCGACCCCTTATCCCGATGAACTTAACTGCTCAGGCGGTAAACTTACCTCGTTGTTACCCCACCTTCCCATTTTCCTGCTCAAGCCTCCTAAAGGAGGTCCCAGTCGTAACGAGCCTACCTGTAAAGTCCTAATCTCTGCCGAGACCTTATAGCGAATCATTCCATCCCCTACCGTGCAACAATAATAAGGTTTGCTGTCCCCCGATGGCCGAGGTGACTTGGAAGATCGGAAAGGATACGTCGGAGAGCCAATATGCTGTGGGTGTGTGCGTGTGCGATGGTGGATAGTGACCTAGTTTGGGAGTGTTTTGTGGTGTGGGAGAGAGAGAGCCGCCGCCGAACCGGGCCGCGCGCCCTATTTCATGCACAATGTTCGCCGTCGAAGAGCTGCTGCAGATAACACGCGACTAGGTGGCCTCGACCTCCACTCCACTACCTCTCCAGGGCCTTACGTGGCTGGGGAGCAGTTCTCTCGCATGCGCCAGTCGCATGGCCACTCTTCTGAGCCACGGCTACGACACATCCCATCCTTACCTGGATCCTTTACGTGACACATTTCTTCCTCAATTAGTATGCCTCTTCATCTATGAGACCCAGACAAGGGGTCTTTTTGAGATTTCTTCTTAGTTTCTGGATGGAACAATTGGATGTGAACACCAAAAATTGTCGTCGACTGAACTGGCGCTTTGTTTCGAGACCGGCTCATTTCACTGTGTAGCACTTTTTGTGATTCTCTATCGCGTCTTTTCGTCATTTCTCATGAATCTTCCACTCTCAACCTTTTATGAACAACTGTCTGGTTTGAAGTTGGCCATAAGCTAGACCCAAAAAGTTGATTGACACTTGGCAACGGCAGCAGCAAACCTGAGACGGTATGTGGTGTTGAGTCGCAGACTACTACCTGAACCAAGGGCATAGTATGGTACCGAAACCTGGTACCCATTCCTTTTATGGGTAATGCTTTATTTTGGTCATAGGTGACATTTTCGGAGAAAACAAATTGTAGAAAATCTACCCTACCCATATAGGTCAGGTCAAACTTCTTACACTTCTTAATTGGACGAAATCCAGGGCGTCGCTCGTACGGGGGGCTACCAGTTGAGCACGACCGGGTGTTGTGGGTGTACGTATTAGTTGTATGACATGGAACAAATTGCTATTGGTATCATTTCGTCGTTGCTGTGAAGTTCGGTTTCAGTTAGTTCCCAGTGTTAGAGAGGAGTTCTTTTAGATGGTGTGTGTGGGTGTTTCGAAACTGTTATGGATGACATTGTTTGGGTGGGTGAAATCATAACCTGACTACCTTGACGGCTTCCATCGTCGTCGTCGTTATCGTTGTCATCGTCGCTTCTCAAGGTGGTTTCGGGGGTAGTTTTTGATGAGCACACTCATAGCTCCACACACACCAGACACCTACATACACACAGACATACAACACGGCCAGCCATCACCTTCACCATTCCAACCAGTTCTCCCCTCTTCAGCCCCAGATACGGTGGAGAATCGATCGAAACGACGAGCTGCTGCTGCTGCTGCTGCTGCTGCTGCTGTTGCTGGCTACAGCTGCCGGATGCTTCCTACAGGTCTCAAGGTTGATACGATATCACTGTGGGGTACATCCCACCAGCGCTCCGCTGGAAAATTTCTTGAGACCGATTGGTAAGCTGATCTTCAGCTCTGGATTAGCCCTACGGTACTTGGGCTGGCAAGCTCCGTCTCAGGACTTTTTGGGTTCTACGATCAAGATACCCGAGTTTTCCCGGATTCCTTCACCTTTCCAAAGGAGTCTGCTCAAAGACCGTAGCTCATACGAACTGTGGACTAATAGGCACAACAAAGGGGGGTTTGCTATGGAATGACACATCACAGACGGCAGCCAACCATGTCTAGTGCACTACATACGGTTGGGTTGTCGCCGATCAACTCATGTACAACGCCTTGTTTATGAGACAAAAAGGGGGAGACGCGATCGGTAGTCGTCATCGTTGTCTCGTGTATTCCCCTTCTAATGTCAGGAGAGGAGAGGAGAGAGATGGGGTGGGGAGAGCATGTGATGGCTCACACCGGGGCTGCTACGTCGCGAAACTCGTCCAACCAGTTTTTATCTTCGAACGCCGCCGCGCCGATGTCAGCGAGCCCGAGCGGAGGGGGACGCCTAGCCCCATTTGTGGCCCACTTCACCCCCTTCCTACCCCATTCCAACTCAACGTCACACAATTCTTACCGTTTCGCTATTTCGTCGACGCCGGATGTTTTGAGTATGTCTCTACACTGGTTGTACCTGACTGTCTCAGACCTTCCATCTTCTTCCACTTTGCCATCCTCTAGGTATTTATGAATACGATATTTCTGTATTGGCTTTTTGCCAATGTTTGGACCGTATTTCTCGTCTGTTCACGAGGTTTTTATGGTCATTTCTCCCTCCTGTTGAGAACTGTTAGGCAAAGCTTCTTCGTAGCGAGCAAATCGAAGGCTACAGTGAACTCGTTTAGCTGCTGGAAGTAAGGACGGAATTGATCTATTCGGGGAGACGTCAATGAGCACTTTTTCCCCATGGCTTCTTCCAGCCTGTCATATCCGCTCAGTAGCTTCCTATGCCACTTCTGCACTACTCCTACTACTTCATACTGTTGTATTTTTCAGCCAAATTTTATTGTTTTCGTTATTTCGCGATATTTTGGGAAAAATCACAGCCTCTGTATTTCTGTTAGCTCATTTGGTTGTTCTTATAGGAATGCAACAATCAAAATTCGTGGTAGTCGAAGTGACTACCACGACCTCCACCATGACCTTGATACAGTATTTGGTGAGTTTCTTCGGTGGCGTATTACGGCGTGTTGTGCTCTGAGTCGCGCTTTACGACGATTCCCGAATTAAACGGGACTTGAACTGATAGGATCCCGAAGGGGACGATGATGATGATTGTGNAAGGACGGAATTGATCTATTCGGGGAGACGTCAATGAGCACTTTTTCCCCATGGCTTCTTCCACCCTGTCATATCCGCTCAGTAGCTTCCTATACCACTTCTGCAACTACTCCTACTACTTCATACTGTTCTATTTTTCATCCAAATATTAATTTTTTGGTTATTTCGCCAATTTTCGCGAAAATTCGCAGATTCTCTGTTTTCCATAGTTCATCTGGTTGTTCTTATAGGAATGCAACAATCAAAATTCGTGGTAGTCGAAGTGACTACCACGACCTCCACCATGACCTTGATACAGTATCTGGTGAGTTTCTTCGTTGGCGCATTACGGCGTGTTGTGCTCTGCTAGTCGCTTTACGACGTTTCCCGACTCAAACGGGACTTGAACTGATAGGATCCCGAAGGGGACGATGATGATGATGATTGTGATAATTTCAGATCACCAATGGTTTTGATAAATTCGCAGTCTTATCAGACCTATCGGATCATCCCTCGCTCAAATACAAAGTAACCTCACCAGCCAGTGCCAGTTCACAACAGAATACCAATGGCAATGAACGACATTCAAATACCGTATCCAGTGAACGTAATGGCAAACCAAAGGTGTCCATAAATGAAATCGCTTCAGCTCTTTCAAGAAAATCATCGCCATCACAATCGAAAAATGGATATTGCGTGAGTTCTGTGTGTATATGTGCCTGTCTATCTGTCTGTCTGTCTGTCTGTCTCTACTTAAGCACGTACGTGAAACGTCCTTCAGGGCCAAAAGCCTGTCTTGTGCCTGTCGATGACGATGCCGGCGACAACAACGTAGACGCTTGCATCATGTGATTCGGGGTTTTCAATTAGACTTTTCCCATACCTTCCCAAGGCGGCAATTCTTTCACCCAAAGTTCGGGGTAACTTTTACCCATCCCGTAGGCTGGAATAGTTTGTCGTAGTCCCTGAGGGAACTGTACCGTTCGCTTTTGCGTTTGCAAGGGCCGAAGAACTCTAACTTTAACTGCTCCCGTACCTATTGGCACGCTTTCCGTGAAGAAATAGGACGCTAGGTCAACAACTAGTAAGGATTCCCTAAAATCTTAGCACGTTGGGAGCTTCTTCATTTCACTTCCCAAATCGAGGCATCCCGGGAATTCAGCGAGCGGGACCAGAGTACCTTGTCCAGGTTTGAGTTCCCCCAACCTAAATTCGAAGTTCGGTTTTCCCCGTCAGGCTTGGGGCCGGATACCACTCTGTTTCGTGGAGCCTCTCTCGAGTAGCTTCCCTACGGGATGTTGGGAATCGAGGTGGGTATGGAATGGCAGAAAACAGGTTTTTCAAAGTCCGCGTGCTCTCCCTATTCAGGAGCATAGTTCTATTGTCTCGAGTTGAGTCTGACCTGTTGACCACCACCATTTGTGGGGGACTAGTAGTTACTGCCTCATGAGGTTGATTCGTACGAACGAAAGTGCAAAATCCCCCTTTCGAAATGATTCCTCCCCTGTTTTGATCATTTGATGACCTCCTTTGATGTTGAGGATCTGGGCCATTTAAATCTGAGGAGCATCTATAGGCCATAGAACTAGAATGGGAATGAACTTTTGGATACGAGCAGTGCGTCAATCCAGTTCCTTGGGAATATCGATCGATACCCAAGCCTGTAACTAAGACCCGGATGTTAAGCTGAAATCAATGCCATTTGACTTTTAAAAATGAGATGGCGAAACTTCCTGGGAGGTCACCTACAGGGCTTAAAGAACTTCAGCCTCCCGTACTTGAATCAATGGGTATTCTAAAATTCCAAAGTAGGTCGTTCTTCTAGAGAACTCTGGAGGAAGCAACAACTCCCAGAAGGAGATTTGGAATGATTTCTTGTATTTCAGACGATCTCACAGCAATCCGTCTTGAAAGCTCAATTGAATGGCAGTGGTAATGCAACAAAAACAGCATTATCACGAATACTTGAAGATCAAACTCGAGCTGCAGCCGCTGAGCAGAAGCGGGAGCACGAGCGACGGGAGCAAGAGCGACAACAACAGGAGATCCAACGAATTATCCTTGCCCAGGCTGCTTGCCAACCGATGTGTGAATCGTTTACGAATGCCATCGAACACGACGAAAGCAACGGGTACGTGACCTTTTCGAGTTCTAATCGCTTGCGAAATTTGGCATCCTTCCAAACTCCTTTTTGGTCCCCGAATCAATAATTTCTTAACTTTTAAGTAGTTGGATTTCTCGAATTCTAGAATTTTATTAAATTTTACGGAATGAGTAGTAAATCCCATGCCTGGTCCGAAATAAGACGACTCAAAACTAGTCGGCATAAAGGTAGATAAAGTTTTGTGAGTTTAACTTGGTCTGACACACTAGGATACGCCACGTTGTCTTCTTTCGCTTCGTATCTTTGAATACTTTGAAAGTGCCCTTGTTATATACTTTCCTACAAATGTAGCGAATTCTCAAGCAGTATTTTAAACTTCCTGAAAATCAAACTTCACCGTATAAAATATCGAAACAAGTCCTTTCTATGGGTCTAACAGCTGGTGCTACTGGTATGGGGTACGCCCAGTTACATTGGTAGTTTCATCCATGGGGCATGAGAATTCTGTCCAATTTGGCCGTCACCCAAACCTCACTCCTTGACTTCTCACCTATTCGAGCTCATTATCTGGATGTTGTTGTACTTGGAGTAGATCCATTGTTAGAATTATTTATTTTATAATTAATTAAAACCCTTGTCTCCATTTCACCCATTTCAGATCACCCGAACTCGACGACGTTGGCATACTTGATTCCTCAACAGTGAACATATCCGGGAGCGATGGGAACGGTGCTCAAGATACCGATCATGGGGCCGATTCTAGTGATGGCGGACTTGGCCCATCTGATGAGCAAGTCCGTGCATCTATGATTCATCTGCTGAATCCTGTGCTAGGAAGCGCTTTTGGGGTATTCCTTCTATTCATATAGTGCTTATAGATGACAATCGAAGTGTCATTAAGACTGAACAATTCTTAGCTTTTATAGAGTTCACTCATCGAAGAGGGAGGAAATGCCAAACGCAAAGGCGATGAGACTGCCAGTGGTGGAGCATCAAAGAAGCATCGTTGGATGACTGTGGACGAATTAGAAGAAAGCCGTTTTGGCAGAAGTAAAAGCTATGGACGGGTGCACTGCAAAGCTACCTACAAATGTGCTGTGAGTGTACTTCGTTATACCTATGAAATCATGAACGAGGAAATCACTGACCATCCATACCTTAACAATTCCTATAAGATGCGCCAGTTCTACTTGGGTTTGTAGGGACAGATGACTGGCTGGCGTATTCTGAGACTGTGGAGTTAATCGGCGTCTCCAACCATGGAAGGAATCCGATCTCCGGGCGGAAGTAGTGTACTGGCAAGTGGCGCAATAACACGCACGCACGGTCGCGGGTTCGAATCTCGTAGCGATATCCGCTTAGGCCAAAAAAGCGTTGCTCCCCTTCGGAGTTGGTTAGTTGGTACCAGATACGTCTGTGAGGACAAAAGCACCGACTTGTACATCCGCTGGCCAACTCAAGTCACTGTATAGGCCACATACGCATTCAACACGCCTCTACGATTCTGTTTGGAAGTCGAATGCGTGGCGCATCCCTCAGACGGATTTGATCGACACCCAAAGACTTTATCGTTTTAAACTTTAAGCCGATGCTTAGAGCTGGGCGGCATTCGATCCAGGAATAGGTATACCACCGCAGCGTTGGGAGTCTAACCTACCTTTTTGGTAGGATAAATCGTAGATCCTTCAGGAAATGCCGCTTTGATGAATTTTGGTCAAGGTCTGATGTTGCTAGGTGCAAAATATTGCCGATTTTCCAGTCATTTTTGGTTTTTCACTTTCAAAATTCTTTTGAGGCTCGAGCAAATCTAAAGGGTAGCTTTGCATGGTTCACAGGAATTCCCAAAAGAACTATTGCCATCCAACTAGCCGATCTTGATATTCGTATACCAACTTACCTTTTCATTTTTCTTTTCTTCAGTTTTTTCACCCACATTGAAATACTAGTAGTAGTATTATGCGTTTAAATAAATATCGTTATTTAGTGACCGTAATTTTACTGTAGAGGGCGAAGTGGTATATGGCAAATGGCACACTATCACACATGCATGGGTCGGGCTCTAATACCGGATCGGTACATTCCAGCCAAATCGAGCCTTGCTCCCTCCGAGGTCGGCTAATTGGAACCAGACTCGTCTGAGAGGATAAAAACACTAACTTGTACATCAGCTGGTACCGCAAGCCATTGTATAGGTCGCATACCTACAAAGAAGGTCACCACGATTTTGAGTGTAAGCTGTGTGCAGGGCGCATCCGAAAAACGGGGCCTGGCTCGCGCTGAAGGCTTTAACCTTCAACCTTCAAATATTGATAAATAGCACAAACTTAACGTCTACTTTACTCGCCGATTTTGGTTCTTCGTGCAAATCATATTTGGGAACATTCCAAAGATGGTATCACGCGATCAACGCGGAGATCTTAATCCTTTATCGAAAAGGAAACCACCAATATTAGAAACATCGCCATATGTTTGCATTGGTTGTTCGTAGATGTCAAGCCAATTGCGATTTCGTTTTTGATTCGAAAAAAAAACTCGTTTTTAATTGTTTCTCTCAATGTCTCACTAAAAATACGTGAACATTTCATTTCAGTTATGTGGAAAGCCGACAACGCTCAATTCAACCGGATCTCGATGGAATCTCCTTCGACACGTCATAATGATCCATTCGGATTCGAAGCCATATCAATGTTGGGATTGCGATTTTATTGGAATCAAAAGCAACGTCATTTCACATGCCCGTCAAACAAATCATCGTAGTGATGATGCACATGATATAACGTTAGTGAATTTTCTTTAAATATACAACAAAAATAGTCTTCAGATTGGGCTGAATCCACAAATTATCATTGCACCTGGGTAATGTAAGAGCAGGTCGAATTACGCACCACCAAAACTGGTATCGGGATCGAATCCCAGGTCTGTAGGTGCCCTTAGGCCCTTAGCCACAAGCCTTCCAATGTTTTAAGGCTGGGCAATCGGTTCCAAAGTCGTCTGGAAGTATTAAATTATTAATCTGTTCATTGGCTGGCCCCCCTGACTTCATTGTATAGCCACATAGGCAATCAAACGTTACTGCGATTAGAAATGAAATTTAATGCATTGGCGCACTCCGAAACGGTATTGCCCATTTCCTAAGCTGAACTTTTACCTGGTTGGAGCGAATTTGGCTCGTCGATATGAAGGTAGGGGCAAGAGGTACTAGAATACTATTGAAAATAGCTATTTGGATAAAATATCTGAAACGAGAAATGACCTTTCAAACAATTTCATTGTTTTGGATATGTACAAATTCCAGGCGTATCCCGAAGCTCTTTACTAACTCTCGGGATGTCACCACCTCACATCATTTATATCTCTCTCCATAGTAGGTACCCAATTGTCTTACAGCCAATGGGCTCTACAGATAATGGCCGTCTTAGCTTTTTAGGCATGCTAATCATATCTCATTCATGTCAGTCTTATGGTACCGGATCTACTGGCACAGTAGCCAGTAGCAGGAGCCAGTAATTAAGCCCCATCAATACTTGAAAACCTGCTTGCTTAGGAGTTATAGGTAGCAGAGTAGTGCTCATCAGTATGGGAGTACACTGGGGTCAGGTGTCAAGCAGTCACATCCCCTGAGTGTGGTTCTGTGGGGAAAGCGATGCTACTTCAATTACATAAAGGGTAATACAGAAGGATTGGAGCCGAAAATAAAAGTTGGAATGAGAAATCGCTACTAATATTCCTCCCAAATTTCTACCTGTGAACTTCTTCCAAGCTCTTAAAAGCTCCGGACCAGAGAGGATGGAACGGGATTTGATGCTCTTCTTTCTAGTTAACAGACTGTTTTCGCCTCGAAGTGAGCAAACCAGCCCGTTTGGTCCTTCTGCTGGATGCATTTGCTTATTCTGTGATTCTGTTTAAGGGTCTCATAATCCCACTCATTGAAAGTACGTGGGGAGTCGCTTCTGAATCTCAGGTGAAAGACACTTCCTTGTTAATATGTGGAAGATATTGGGCAAATATATGAATCAATTGTCAAAGCACACCATACTGTCACAGTTGCGCGGTTGCCCTATGTATTACGATGAAGAACTTCCACCTGGGATTTAGAAGCGACTTCCCACGTACCTTCCCTGAGTGGGATTATGAGACCCCTAAACAGAATCGCGGAATAAGCAAATGCATCCAGCAGAAGGGCCAAACGGGCTGGTTTGCTTACCTCTTTGGCCTCTAACATTACAACATGGGGCTTTGTTCTATCCGGGTTTGTTTTTATAAGCTGCTTTTCTGTGATAAATAAGGGGTGATAGGGGTTACCATAGGGCGTCCCTTACAACCTGTCGTTGGCATCAGATCACGCACGTATAGCCTGGAGATTGATTATCCTTCTCAATCTAGCTGTGTAAGCTGTTTTTCTTGAGGAGTGGAGCGCTGCAATTTTTGAAGGTGGGCAGAAAAAACCCACAGACCGGCTTGACAGAGTTTTTGCCACCAAGCCACGCGACCCCGTTTTGAACTGAATTTTCGGAAACTTGTTCCAGCGGAAAAAAACCCCGCTCGTGTTCTGTAATTGAAGATAGGAAAGATCCGCCCAATAGGGATGAGCAGCTACATCCACCCACACTCGAAGGCGGGTAACCGTGATCACTTCCTTGAGGAGTAAAGAGGTGTAGTGGTGTCAAGTATCAATCGATTATTTCTTTTGGATGCTCCATGTTTGGGGCTTCTCCAACTGGAACGTCCCTTGAATGTCTAGTTGGCTTGGATAGTTCCAAAAAGCGTCATGACAGGCTGCCGATGTGAGAACGGGCATTAACCTCCCACAGAAACTAACTAGCTGCCCACATGGGGAGTGGTTGGAGGCAGCGCCATCAGATTGCATACTAGACTCGGATGGTTGCATAAGGGGCTCTTCGGAAGAGATTGAGCTGACTGGTCCACCCTATGATTCCACCTAATCAACCATGAAGCAGCGGACCCCGACCCGCTATCTGGTCCCCGGTCCCTATGAAGGGGCAGCTACAACAGATGCCTTTGGCCCTACCTCTTCAGAAATTTTCGTGGAATGTCCCCATGGGCCAAATCGAAAAAATTTCAGGACAGATCTAATGCGAAGTGAATGGAACACAATGCTTCATCAATGCTTTCCTGATTACGTAAAAGCAAAATCTCGTGGATGGCAAGCCAGCCACGATGACGCCGACGGTGACGCCGTTGTCGCGGCGGCTATCGACTCGCCTGAGATTAAATCCGAACTATAAACCTACTAAACTTGCTCACAAAACGTTCTCTCCTACTTAATCTACTCACTTATGATATCCGATCGTTCTTATGTGATATGTACGAATGGAATAGGTCATTTTTTTCGTTTTTGTTTTTATTTCGTTTTTTATTTCCTTTTTGTTTTCCCGTTAAGTGACAATATCTCTTGCCGTCGTCTCATTTCACTTGCCACTCCTACACCCTTGTGATCCGCGTTCAATGCGTATTCGATGTTGCCTTTTCTTTCTGATGCCTTCCGAAACGAATTCTCCGTAAACGGGTGCTTTTTGTATGTTTTGATAATGACAGAAGTGTTCTTTTTCTTGTATTTCTTCATCTTTCATATAATTTGCACTACTGGAGAATTACCATATATATAAATCACATCTATTTTGATGATCTTTCGCTGTATTTGGAATATTTTCCACTTCTTCCTTTAACGGCATAGTTCACGATCATTTGGGTATGATGCAGTAGGAACGAATTTGTCGCGTCGCGGCGAGAGACGCCGCGCGCGAAGGAATGTAGCGAAATGNACAGCAACTAAGAAATTCAGGAACAAAAGAGCTAACAGTAGAATTATGCCATAGGCAATAATCTCATAGCGATTGAGCTGTATAAGGAACGCTACAACTGCTATAACGAGGCAAATGGTCCGCGACAGCCGCGTGCGGCGGATCGATTACACAAAGCCGTTCCTACTGCCCGTCTCCCCGATCATTTTGGGTACAATTTTCAACTTAAAAACGTATGTGATAGGACACAGCAGGTAGCGAAGGAAGCGCAGAGACCAAGGAATTCATGAAATTAAAGGTTTCCAGAATTACTTATAACAGGGGTGTACGAGTTCATGACGACTTCAGATTTCAGTCGAGTACAACTGCATGAAACCTGGAAACAGTGAACAAAGAAAGTCGAAATTGGTTTTCGCATATCGCAGGACTCTGCACCATCAGGTGTTCGGATCCTCGGCATACTATATGGCGCATAAAAAATGGTCGACAGGCTTCTTCCCGATTTCCCACGTTCGCTTTGCGGCATGCGGCAAATTTTATTAGTTGTCTCGCGGCTTCAAACTGCAATTACCGTACTCAGCCCGATTCCCGACCCATTGATAGGACGCCATAATTTTTGTTGACTGTATTTCTTTTTTTGGATTTGGTTGTTTCTTTCTGTTTCTTTTATATTTTTATGTTTACTGAACTTGATTGTTCGGACTGACTCCTTCTCTAATGTCCACGATTAAGACCGCATTGGGATTGAAGAAAGTGGCCAGCAAATGTAAAAAATTAAAGGACTCCTAATTCACAGCTTGCGCGCTCCAATCTTCCACCGCATTTCTGCGACAATTGGTTAGTGTAAGTTTTACTCACAAGAACTCTCAGAACCATTCAAGTTCAGCTATCCTTTGGACACGCTTCAAGAAAAAACTGAGGAATTTGTTCGAAGCTTCAGATAACAAAGAAGTATAGCTCTGAAACCTGGATCTTCCTGCACAGCGGCTCGGGGACGAGGAGACTTATATTGTTTCTCGTTTACACCCCCCCCCCCCTCCATGAAAAACAACATTCGGTTTTTTCACGATCTGAACCCTTGTTTTTCATCAAATCTTCCGAAGGTGGGTTCGAGAATGGCCTCTTATGCTTAATCATTGAGGCTATTTCAGAGAGAGAGATCGGCTGTTGGATTCTGAAGTACTAGCATTCACTATAGCTGTGAAAGAGAAGAGAGAGAGACCTTCGACCCCACAATTTATTTTTTTGCAGGGGTGATTCGAGTCAAGATGGACTTGTGAATGGATAAAGGACGGGAACAAAGTCTTTGGCGTTAATCAGTCTCGTGTTTGGGATGCGCCTCACGTTCAACTTCCATTCAGAATCGTACGTAGTGACAGTTTGAATGCATATGGTGCCTGTACAATGACTTGCATTGGCCAACTAATGTGCAAGTCAGAGCTTTTATCCTCCCAGACAAGTATGGTAACAATTTTCTTACCCTGGAGCTATGGCTTGGTTAGCCAGGAAGAGTATCTATCAGGAGTTTGATAAGCGGACCACTCCGTGTGGCAGTGCGCCATCTGCCATTACACCACCTCCGCACTATGTACATACAGATATATAAACTTGGATATTTATTACCATATTATTTTGTTATATTCATTACTTAAATGCATTTTTATCCGGATTTGGTTATGTTTAGCTATACTCGATTACATATTATGCGTTAGATCATACATAAATAATCACGGACCATGAAATTCGAATCACTTGAATCAAAAACTGTCATGAGTTGGTAGTCGTGATCTCATGAGTATATGGAGAAATCTTCATAACTCTCTCCATCGCTACCAAATTCGCCGATATAATCCGAGTCGTCGAAACCCAGCTGAAATCATGCTTTTTGTCGATTTACAGCAAAGTAGTGGACCCAGTAGGATGACATGCTCCCTATCGAGCCCTGCGATAGGAAAAAACAGCATGATTCCATAACGGAGCTCACCTTGCCTGTGAAGCCCCTTGGAGCTGGACCCGCCTTGGACTTGGGTCGGTTCGCTGGGACAGCGCTGTCTTCAGGTCCTTGTAGAATTTCCATATCCAATCCTAAAATATTGGAAATTCCAGGACACAGGTAGAGTTCCTTCATAGGTGCTGAGGTCTCACCATTATCATCATCGGTCTGCTTGTAAACTTCGTTGAGTTGGGTGGAGTTCAGATACCTTGCATCTTCTGCATCTGGGGTTCTCACTACTGTAATGAAGATGAATAAATTGTGAGGAATCACGTGGAAATTTTCATTCGATTGATTCTTGGAAGGAGATGGTGTAGTGCATGTGGCGCATTACCACACAAGCATGGTCGAGGGTTCAAATCCTGAGTCAACACCATCCCAGACGGAACAGGTCTTCCATCTCTCCGGGGTCAGGTACTTTGTGTTAGGCGCATCTGAGAGGATAGAAACGCTGATCTGTACGTCGGCTGGCTACCGCATTTCATTGCATATGCCACATACACATTCAAAAAGTAAGACAATTCTGAATGGCAGTCAAATGCGGGACGCATCCCATGAGTGGGATCGATCATAGCCACGACTTTACTTTTGGTTCTTTTTTCCTTTTCGCGACGAGACGTTGAAAAGCAAGCATTTGTAGCGCAACGTTTGCAACCAACTTAAAAGATTACAACTTTTCAACTCCAGCTTTCTGTTGGGTTCCAACTTTAGCAAAGTTTTTCACCATATTGAAACTTACCCCATCGGAAAAAGAGCGTCACGTCGAGAGTTGAATTTTGAGCAAAGAATATTATCGGAACATTACGTCCTTTAGACAACATTCGACGGAACCAATGAGATTTGCAACAAAACCTGAAATTCTAGTTGTTAATCAGTACGTGAGCGGTTCACCTCGCCATCTGGGTCACTCGGCTTGGCTTACCACTCCTGACTCAATTTTCTGACCCCACAGTTGAACGCCTGATGCTTTATAAGATCCCCAGAAGCCTTCATGCTATCTATAATATTGCCTAAATATTCACTCTGGGATGTCATGTTGTATTGGACACTAACGTCCTTGGGTAGGACAGCCATTTGGGAGAGGTCCTCAAGCTTACCCTCATCCTCAAGGAGCTCATCCTCGATCCAACCGGATCGTCTTCTCAAGCCGGGGTACTGTAGTTATCAATGTAGCTGACTCCACCTGTATCCCACTGGACGAAAATCGCCTTCCATTTTCATTTCTACTGCAGTTGTATAGCATCCTTCTTGGCATCTTCCTTCAACCGATTTCAAGCCAATCATGACTCTACGATTGGGCGGAGCCTAAAATCCAGAAGCATAGTGAATGACAGAATCAGCTTCACCGCTGATCGCTCAAGTCAAGACTCACCCTTATGTGATAGACGCACTTCCGCCGTGCCCCTGCTGATGTGAGTCGAATTCGCATTCTAGTCAATGATGAGGTCGTCGGTATAAGGCCTCCACATCTGATTGGAGCTGATGACGCGATCAACTGGCAGACGTCTCCACCAAAGCCTGTAGGACATCTGCAAGTTGGAATCATAGGGTGAACCAAACCGTAAGAGGGTTCCGTCGAAACTTACTTGCAAACGCTACAGTTCCTTGGATTCACGTATCCTCCATTCAGACAGCGTGGCTGGTTTTCAGTTGTATTGCAAGCGTCTGAAATGGAATCTCAGGGACTCTGCTTGGGAAATAGGTCCTACAGTTATGCAGGTTACCGTAACATTGATAGTGCCTGTTGATGATTTGGACATCAAGAAACGAAGGTCCATCCATGGACCCCATAGTACCCACGTAATCCGGATTTATGGGAGACAGTGCAGGAAGGTATTCGTTTTCAGAAAATCTAAAAAGGAAGCCGATTCATTGGGATTGAAGTGGAAAATGGAGGGAAAATGGGAAGGGGATGGAAGAAGGGAAAGATTGCAACTTACTCAGTTGGGGTGTAGTGCATGACACTGCCGATGTCATAGGGGAGGTCGTATGTGTCCAGGTATTTTGATGGTATCTGAACATCCACGAAGGATCATGAACAATCAACGAATCCTTCAAATGAAATCATCACCTTGGCGAAGTTCATCCAGTACTTGAACGCTACATTTTCCTCGTTGAAGGTGATATACCGATCCCGATCGTAGCGTTGTTGATGGTGAAAGAGGCCAAGAGCGTGGGCGATTTCATGGGAGGTTATTCCAAACTGAACACAACTTATAGTTCAGGTATAAATATATAGCAACATCCAACTAGGAATTTACAGGCAATTAAAGGCACCGTTCACGATAAAAAAA